GTAAAGAAGTTATTATTACAAAAAAAGAGATTAGTTTTATCAAAGATTTTGGTTTCTATGATGCTTGTAATAAATATATTATGATTGAAACAATAATCTGCTATTCTTCTCTTTTAGTAAATTTATTAAAGCTTCTAAGATTGTATATAATAATAGTTAGATAAAAATAATATGAAGTTGAATTAGGTGAAACTAAAAGAGAATTTTAGTTAGAAAAAGTTAAAAAATAGTTGTCAAGAAATAAATCAGGTAAGATAGAAGTAGAAGTAAAGAAGTTAGATCTTAGTGGAAGATTATAAAATAAAGAAAAAAGATATTAAGTAATAATAATATGATCTGACAAAAGAGTGTTATTAGAAAGATATATATAGGTTTTATTATAAGATAAATTAATAAAAATGTAATACTAGATATAGTTTTATTGTTGTTATATTTGTCAATATGTTGAATTAAGTTTGAATAGTTTGACTATAAGGAAGAAGTAGTAAATTGTAATAAAGAAGAAACTTAATAAAACATGTGTAAAGATTATAGAATATTAAAGATGTTGTAAATGATCTTTTAAACTTATCTTTTACAGAATCAATCATTATATGCTTAGCTCTTACAGCTATGCAATGTACTATAGTCTGCTCAGTATATTAGGTCTGACTATCATTAACATAGTCTTTTACATAAATAAACTTGTTTATCTGCCTATTTATTTTATTTTTCTTATTAATTACAATGATTGTTTCTTTTGATAAGGTAGTGACTGTTTCAATATTAGTTGTAAAAGACAAAGAACTTAAAAAAAAGATTGTAAGAAAAGTGAGTTAAGAATAAAAACTAGTTGAAAGTCAAAATTAAATTTTTTTACTAAAAACTTCTTAGTTGCTAAATAGGCAATATTATTAAAATATTTGACAATTTGTAAGTAAGTAGATTTTTGATTTTTGATAATATCAAAATAGGTAATAATTTGGACAAGAAATTTAGTATTAATAATGCTTTTTGTTAATAATCTTCTTCTTGGAGAAAGACTGTATATTGTAATTTTCTGCTGCAGTTTAGTAATATAATGAAAGGTAGTAGTAAAAGTAGTAATTGTAATGTTTAAAATTTGTTTTAATTTTGTTTTTTTTTGCAGATAAAGTCTTCAACTTGGTTAGCTACTTGTCTAGAGCTTTAATAAAAATAGGTTAGTTAAGTAAGGCAGCATGTTTTTTGTTTTTGTAAAATTGTATAGTATTAAAAATAGAATGAATATATATTTCATTATCTTTAAATAAAAATAATAAGTGAAATTTGTTTAATATGTCATTAAAGAATTTAGTACTATTATAAAATTTTTTATTATTAAGATATTGACATGATTTGTTGTTACAACTAAGATAATGAAAATTTACAACACTAGATACTTTCTTATATTGCTTATGAAATAAATTAGGTTTTTTGAATATATAGAATTCAGAAAGGTGTTTGAAAAGTTGAAAAATAAAGTGCTAATAAAATTGAATTTAGAGAGAAGTTTTGACTTTTCTTTTTCAATAATAGAAGAAAATTATTAAATATAAGAAGAGTAATAGGTTTCAAACTAAGAATTAAAATGATCAAAAGAATTTTTAAAAGAGTGAATGCAAAATCTTTTAAAAAATAGTGTTTTAGAAACATTAGAAAAGAGCTTAATATTAAATTTAGTATTTGATTGAATGGTAAATATTTTTGGTTAAAATTAGTAGTTTGAATAAAAGATTCAATTTTGAATCTTTTAGGTCTAAACTTTAAATCTTTAGCAAATTTTCAATAATCAATTAATTAGTAGTTATCAGATAAAAAAAGCTAAAGTTATATAATATCAAGACAGACTTGAAGATAGTTATGAACAGTATATGATAGAATAGTAACTGATAAGACAAATATTTCAAGATAGTTAAGTTTTGTAAAGAGAACAGTTATAAATTTAAGAAATAAGTTTTTGAAAATAAATTTAAATAGATTAAATAGAATAGTATTATTTTTGTCAATATTAAGATTATTACTGTAAATAAGATTAGTTAAGAATTCTGGTTATTATTCAGAATAATATAATAGAATAATACTTTAAGTGCAAATTAAATAGAAATAGCTAGTTTAATTTCTTTATCAAGCTAAAAGTTATAAAGAAATTTTTAAGAAAAATGAAGAGTTGAAGAGAGAATGAATTTATAGTTTTTTATTAGATTGTATTTCTTTAATAATTAAAAATTTTGCAAACTAATCATATATAAAGTTAGATTTTGGTCAAGCATACTAGAATAGGTTTAAAAAAAAGGTTTGTTAGAGGTATTGTCAAGTTGGTCAGTATTATTAGAGTTATTAAGATTTAAGTTAAAGTTATTAAGAATATTAATAATTAGTAAGGCCACACCAATTTGATTATCTGTTTAGCATAACCCCCCCCCCCTAGATTTTGGAATTTTATATGAATCAAAACACATAATATTAGCCAATCAAATTGCTGCATTAGTAATTATGTGTATTCAATATTTTTTACATTATTTCTAGCCAATAAAATTACAGTTTTTTTTTTTGTGTGGTTTTTTTTACAATGCCCCACCCCCTCCTATAGGCTATCCTATGTTATGTTAAACAGAAAATCAAATTGGTGTGGCCTAATTAGTTGGAAATAGAATTAGTATTAGTAACTATAATAAAAAAAGAATCAATAAAATTAGAAGTGATAGAAGAGGTTTGATAAAAGAAGTTAGTATTAGAATTGGTGATTTGATTAAATTCTAGTAAAATATTTTGAAAAGTTTGAGTAAGATTTTTCATAATTTAAGATAAACTAGTTTTGTGCTAAGATATGACAATCATGTAGGTAAAATAATAAACTTCATTATTTTTAATAATATATTTTTCAATATGATAATAATATTTATTTTTCTTAGTATAACTAATTAAAATTAAGCATTTTAAATAAGTATAATAATGTATATCAAATGTAAGAGATAGAAAAATATTGTTGGTAAAAGAAAAGATACTAAATATAAGTTCTTAGTTTGTTTTGTTAAGATTAGGGGTGATGTAGATTATTTTTAATAATAATTATATAACAAATCATATAATACTATATAATTTATATATAAAATTTTATTTATATTACATAAATTTTCTATATAAATCTTATATGTTTAGAAAACTCATAAGCTGATTCAGAAAAATTTAGTAATATCTAAAATAATTTTTTTTAAACCCAAATAAATTATAAAATTTTATTAAAATAATTAAAAATTTTAGATTTATATACTATTAAATTTTAATAACAATTGAATGTAATACTAAAAAGTTTTATTAGTAATATATTTTTTTATATAAAAAATTTTATTTGTCAGAAAAATCATATAACAAATGTTCTATGTTATTTCTATTCTTAAGTTTTTTGGAATTGTTATTGATATAAACAGTATTAAAATCAGTAGCTTAGATGTGATTGGTATTGATGCTTGAGATAAATTTAGTTTGATATTTGCTATAAAGACAAATAATCATTAAGGTAAAGAAAGAAATTTGAAAAAAATTTATAATTTTATGTGATCTAAAATTTTTTGTTAAGCAGAAGATTAGTTGGATTCTGGAAGAAATTGGACAAGTATTATTATCATTTTCTTTTTCATAAAGAGTGGTTCTAAAACTATTAAAGAAGTTTTGGTAAAAATAGTCAAGATCTGTAATGTCAGACTCTTAATTAATTAATGTAGATATTTTATAATATTAACAAGTTAAGTATATAAAAAAAAAAAAGAGAATTAAGATTTAAAGAATTTTTCTAAATAACAAATATAATTATAAGTATTAATTTTATAAGAATAGAAGATCAAAACAAGAATTATACTGTAGAGGTATCACTGGAGTAACACTAAAGTGTAACTGAAATGATTAGAATCACTAGTATAACTTAGGTACTGAATATAAATAGAATTTGTAATACAAATTATTGTATAATATTGGTAAAAACTAAATATAGTAATAATAGATTATGTTGAAGAAATATCTATAAATAGATTAGTTATAAGATATTGGTATAAATTAATAAAGTATAGATTGAGAAATAATTATATTATTATATAAAAAACATGTAAGAAAAAAAGAAAATAAGATGAGGATAAAAGGTAAAAAAAAAAAAGATTTGTAAGAGAATAAATATTGAATTTAGTTGTAGTTCGATCTATATTAGATCAAAAATCTTCATTTAGAACTTGTTTTGACTGAGTAAATGTGTATTATAATTTTACTTAAGAGTATAGAACAGGTTAAAGCAGTAGAAACTGTGAGATGGTTAGAATTTTAAAACTGGAAGTCAAAGATCGTTAGTACAATTTTCTTAATAAGTTTGAAATATAAAAGCTTAATATTTGCTGAATCTATGTAAAATGATGAGCTAAACATGGTTATTTAGAGTCCAAGACAGGTTGTCTTAGTAAAATAAATAATGATAAGTGTTTTTTGATAAACAAATTTTTTAGTTAATTTTTGTACAATGGATTTGCAAAAAGAGTTAAGTTGTTATGACTGTTTATAAAATTTAAGTTAAAATACTGTATTATTAAATATTGTTATATAAATAATAAACAACTAAAATAATTACTAAATTAAATTATTTTATAATTGCTTCTATATTTAAAATTATGCGTTAAATATGGATCGCGAAAAAAAAAAAACCTATTAACCAACCAAAGAACCAAAAAATCTAAAATAAATAATCTACATGATCTCTTATTATTTTACTAATATAATTACTGGAAATTTATGATTTTTTATAAACTTTTTGATTTTTAAAATTTTGCTTATTTCATATTTTGATTATTTGTCTTAAAATCACTTTGTTTATTCTACTTGTTTTCTCAATACTAGTTTGTTTTTTTAGATAACCATTTTTAAAAATATTTAGTATACTTTACTTATTTATCTCAAAATCACACATTTTTTTATAATTATTTTTCTAAAGTTTTTTTTCTTTTTAATTATTTTTCTCAAGATCACTTGGTCCTCTCCAGACTGTTTCTCTTAAGATCACTTGGATCTTTCCTATTGTTTCCCTCAAGATTACTTGATCCTTTTTGATTATTCCTTATATACTTGTAAACTATTATGCTTAAAACTAAAAACAGAAAGAAAACACTACAGATAACACCTATAATTACAATTTTTTGATGTTGAAATGTTGATAAAACTGGATTTATTGGTTCATACGGCGATGGAGGATTTGGAATATTATACGTGTTTATAATATTCATAACGTAATACGCCATTATTCCTTGAAATGCGGAGTTATAATCAAGAGCAACCTTTAAATTTACAATAAATTTATAATATATTAATAATCAACACATTACGTGCATACATATGGGTGAGTAGAAACGCATTAATTCTCTTTTAATAAAATTCTCTTAAATTTTTTAGAAAAAATAATTCACCAAAAGCTTAATCAAGTTTAATAAAATTGATTTAAACAAATGTTTTATCAAATTTGATTAAGTTATTATTGTGTTATTTTTTTGAAAAAATTTACATAGAAAAAATTTGGTACGCTTCTAAGATTCACCCATATAAACAGGAGGAAACGTTGATGTTACACGATTAATTTTACACATGGTGTGAAACACGTAAAAAAAATTATTTTACAATACTTGAACGATCTTGATCAGTCCGCTAGTAGATGTTATGATTATAATCCGGATTATAATCATAACATCTACTAGCGGACTGATCAAGATCGTTCAAGTATTGTAAAATAATTTTTTTTACGTGTTTCACACCATGTGTAAAATTAATCGTGTAACATCAACGTTTCCTCCTGTTCCCCATATATTGTAAGTGATAATTAAGCAGTTCTTAATTAGACTTGAAGTTAGTAATAGAATTATTTGTATAAAGAATCTTATTCTTAATTGGCACTCTCACTTACAATAGAAATTGTAACATAGTAAACAAATACCTCAGATTGAATATAATTTGATCTTGAGTCGAGATATGAATCATTCATACTTGGACCACCTATAACGGCACCATATAAAGGATATTTTGTCTCAGGTGGGTCATTCAAGTTTTCTACATTTGTCCCACCATGTGCGCCAGCATGATGAGGATTTTTAGGAGAATTTGGATGAACAGCTACAATATAAAACATTTTCATAGGATTATCACCAAATATATAATTAATTTGAGAGTATACAAAGTTTCTATATATATTAGCTTTTTCTATGGTAGATGCATAAGCAGAATACATAAGAAATCCAAAGGCACTATTTAGGGAAGTAGGTATTGAAGTTATACTATCATCACACCATAAAAGTCCACCACTTGTAAAGTTACAAACGCTTGTATTTGTCAATATATTGTCTAAATAATGTTCAGCTTCACTACTCCAAAAAGAGAAATTTGCATTTGATTTATCAAATATCTGAGCAAATAAAATATTACAAGAACCCTAAATTTTATGATATGAATGAAAGTTAGAATATCTTAGCAAAGAAAAAGTTTTAATGATAAAAATTAATAAATATTTAACTATTTGATCACCCCATGTCATAATTTCTATATCATGCGATATTTTTTTATATTGGTTATAGTAATTTACTGCCTTATCCAAGTATTGAGACTGATAAGTGGCACGGTATAACCAAATAGCTCCATAAGCCAATTTGTCAAAGAATTTTGGAGTATAATATCCCCTGGCTTCTTTAATAACTGTAGACGAAGACAAAGTTAACTTTTGACTTTCTGCATAAGCATAAACGCTTATAGCATGAGATATTAATGTTTTGGCGTAAGAAGTGTCATTAAAAAAGTCTTGAAATAAAATTGCTGAGGAAGCAAAAGCTGCAGCCGCTTCTGCAGCAACTTCTGTGCCATGTGCTGTTGAATTAATATCATAAGCAGGACGTGGTTTCGGAATACTATTATTGTTGTCAAAAATAATTGATGGTAATTAAGGTGATTAAGATAATTAAAGTGATGGTTATATACTATATGCATACTTAGTATCAGGGCCCCAATAATTATTATCAATTTTAGGTGAACCAACTTGAATGAAGAGTTGATTGGGCTTAGGATGAGCTGATATTAACCAATCTGTTCCCCATTTGACCATTTCACGAAGATATTCAGTTTGGTTTGAAAGTTGATATCCTTCAAACCATTCGATCGCACCCCTAAATAAAAATATATAGCTTAAAAATTAAACAAAAAATAAATGCTTCTAACAAATTGACAATTACCATGAGATGAGAGACAGTGACCATGATAATGGTAATGTAAATTTTAAGTAATCGCCTATAAATAAAAAAATTTGTAAATGCTGTAAATGTGCATGAAATCAATTGATAGTCAATAAGAAAATATACCAGCATCATAATAACCCTATACGTTAGTTGGTTTTAAATAAATAAATTAAATATTCTACATAAATGTGTAAACAATAACAATATGGAGAGTTTTGGAACTTGGCCTTATTTAATTTAAAGAGTTAATAAATTTGTAATCATTGTTACCGTAACCGCATTCCATAAAGATAATCTAATTTCAAGATCAAGTGCAATATAAAACCAAAATACAATAATAAAAAATTTCTTGAAAAATTTTGGTTTAAACTATGACCTTAACCTCTCTCTAACCTTAACTATAAAATCTTACTTTTATAAAAAAAGTTTGTTTTGATAATTGCGTTACACCTGATTAGGGTGCAGGCAAATTGTCGTAGCTTTCATAACATAATAAAGTTACAGCAAAATTGCTGTACTGTATTGTCGCGAAATAACACCCCGGGGCGTTATTTCGAGACACATTGCTTAAAGAGAGCTAATTATTAATTTAAAAGAATGACAATCATAATTTTTGGTTATTAAAAGTCTTCGGCTAAATTAATTATTAGCTCTCTTCAAGCCTAAATAACGCCCCGGGGAGACAATACGGTAACTTATTATAATTATTACATATTACTGACAAGTTACGGCAAAAGTTATAGCATCAGTAGGACGATTAGCCTTGATCCTAGTTACGATTACAGTTACTTATGGTTACAAAACTATTGATTCTTATTTGAATGCTATCAAAAGCAAATCCATCACTGGGATTTAACTATATTTTGTTTTCTGAGTGCCGTCTAGGAAAAATTGATCATCAGGCTTTCAATTATATTTTGTAACAATTCATTACAAATATAATTAAAAGCCTGATGATAAATTTTCCTAGACTGCATTCAGAGAACAAACTGGACACAAAATATAATTGAAGCTGGTGATAGGTTTTCTATTGACGGCACTCAATTGAATACCTCAATTATCAGCCTTTTGCATACTCATTTTTAAATACCGAATATTCGTAAAATTTGATCTTGTATTTAATGCCCTAAACCTAACTGATTTTAAGGATTTAAAAAAGGTCAAATTCCAAAAATCCTCCATATTGAGTAGTTGAGTTCTGTGTGACTTTATCGTACTAAACCAGGAACGAACAGATATAACTTATACTGCTCAAAGTTGATTATTAGGTTAACATTATCCCCAGAAATTAACTAAGCCAATCAAAATGCAGTATAGACTTCATTAGTCATGTGATTAAGGATGTCAGATTAATGTCCATCGTGCCTTAGACCAAAATATTTACATTAATTAATATTCTACTTTGAACGGCCTTAAACTTATTCAAAAAATAAATGAGTCAGATAAATTTAGAAATGATAGCTAAAATTAATTTGCAATTGAGATAAAACATGTACAATAACAATTTTAGGCTTTAATAAAAAGCTGCTGTCTAGAGGTTTTAATAATTCAAGTTTATCACATGAATTTTGTGATATTTTAGAATTTGTTGATAAATTTCTAAAATATCACAAAATTTACGTGATAAACCCAAATTATTAAAACCTCTACCGCTGCCTATATTTTTCGTGTAATTGAAAAGTCTCGTATAATATATAAATATAGCGTTATGTGATGCAATAATGTGAAGTTTAAATGGAAAATTTCACGTTTTTATGATTGAGCGCATTGTCCAATTTATTATCAATTGTGATTTTATGAACGTATGCCATTAATAATTTCATAATAACCATGCGCTCGTAATATTATATATCCAACCGTCCCTGGTATAACGAAACTTACTCCTGTTAAGTTCACGCCTCTATCCTTCCCGTCATCAAGTGCAGAATTATGTCTCCTGATGGTAAAATAGAGGTTGATAAAGCTTGTATTCGGGAAAAATTGCCCAACAGTTAAAACTTACCAAGATACTCGATTATTCTTAGGTAAAATTCCGCTTCTTTGTGCTTCATAGAAATATAAAGAATAGGCCAACAACTTTGAATAATCATTTCCTTCTTTTGGAATACCGGGTATATCAGGTGAAGGAATTAGACCAAGTGAGGGTTTCGCTTCAAACGCAGAAACTATATATGTGATACATATTATAACGAATGTCAAAAATAATAATGAAAATCGGTTTTTTAACATAAGACGGAATTGGACCATATTTGTATCTTTAAATGAATAACTAGTTGAGTTATCTATTGTGTGTATATTGCTGTATATCGGAAAAGCTAAAAATCCAGTTAATTCAAACATTATATATGTTTAGTGGTACTATTGTAGGGAGAGACTTAATGATTAAAATGTCCAATTTAGTTCTAATAGTAAACCGGATTAAGAAGTTGTTACTGATCGGGAAGAACTATCGGAATAGTGGTTTGTACACGTGTATGGGTAATTACCGTACAGCGTGGTCTAAAAGACCCCTTTTGTAACGCCCCTCACAGCTTTTTGAGGCCTAAAGCATATAATAAATCACTAGTTATAATTAGAAGTCCAATGACAGGTTTTCTCTTGGCGACAATTATATAGTGCAACCTATGTCTCCTATGCTAACTATAGTATTTCGCTGACTAATACCTATGTAGATAGCTTGTAAAGTACCCCGGGTATTTAGACCACTGTATGGTAATTAATTAATATAAGTGATAGACGCACTTATGTAATAAGTACTATTTATTCCACGTTGCTATTTGATCGCATGACGGGGTTTACAATTTATAATCACTACTTTAATCTGAAAAAAACGAGTTTTAATCACTGCAAGTTACCGTACAGCGTGATCTAAAATACCCAAGGTACTTCACAAGTTATCTACATATATAGGCATTATAGTCAGAGAAATACTATAGTTAGCATAGGAGATATAGGTTGCGCTATATAATTGTCGCCAAGAGAAACTTGTTATTGGACTCTAATTATAACTAGTGATTTAAATATATGCTTTAGGCCTCTAAAAGTTGAGGAGTATTATAGAAGGGGGTCTTTTAGACCACGCTGTACGGTATTTCCTCGGCAATGCTTGTTATTTCCCCTGAGAAGGGGAAATAACAAGCGTTGCCGGGGAATAACTTGCATTGTAAAAAACTCGGGTTTTTTCACTGATTAAAGTAGTGATTATAAATCGTAAACCCCCGTCATGCGATCATATAGAAACGTGGAATAATTTTACTTAAACAGATCAATTTAAGTATGACTAAAATGTGTAATTAAATAATAAGGGGTCGCTTATTTAGTAATTTTAAGAGTAGCGATAACGAAAATACGACGATACTTCAAAATAATAATTGTATTAACGGAGTTTAAGTATAATGGTTATCAATTAATTTTTGGGTGTTCTCAAGCCTCGACCTCGATGTGATTAGCTTGTGATCGTGATCGCGCACAACTCTAATTATATTTACGTAAAATACGTAAAATATTGATAACGAATCGAATAAGCAAATTATGAAGAGCCGGTTCATAATATATATATATTATGAACCATTGTACGACTGATTTGGTTTATGTGACATCGAAAAGTTCATAGTCTACTAGCACTACCCATATATTATGAACCGTCGTACGACTGAATTAGTTTTTGCAACACCGACAAGTTCATAGTCTACAAACTTTAACGGGTCTCGTATACCAGGTCAGTGTTAATGATGTGATCCATCGTTAGAATGGCATGTCCGTAATCTGTGACAGGTTAAGCCACTGATGCCAATTACGTGTCCGACTGTCCCTGCCGCCTGCCAAATTGTATTATGAATAAACTCCGAGCTTCAATAATTTTATTACAATGCCGATATGTAGCAATTTATGAAGTTAAATTGTGTAATTATTACGATATTTACGAGTTAACCGCAGTTAAGCTTTAAATAAAGGTAATATATAAAGAACTATCTAATATTCTTTCTTTCTGTTACCTTATATACCCTATAAACGAGCTTTCCTTTAACTAATATACGAAAAAGTGTTCAAAGCAGAAGTATTTTTTAAAAAAACAACTCGATTTACTAAACTTCAAATAAATAAAAATAAAAACTTCTAAACCTTCCCAATAAAAAAAAAAAATTTACCTGTTACAGTTACAATTTTTTAATTAAAATTCTTAATATGGAAGGAGATATCTTGCAGGTTATATAAATTATTATTAGTATTAATAATATAGTGAAATAATATTAAAAGTTTATCACATATTGATATTATTATTTTTATTAATAAATTTTAGTTATTTTCTTAGAATTTGTTACCATAGGTTTTAAAATTGGTTCTTCCACAAGATTATACCTATCTATTCAAAAATTTTAATAATATAGTACTATATATAATGCAAGAGGGTCTTAAGGTTCCAAATTTTACATTAGACATATTTGTAAATGTTAACAGCAAAGAAGACATATTTGAATGGTTTGTAACATTTTAGTCTTATTCAAAAATAACAATGCCACAAACAAGAGGTTACCAAATTAAAGAATATTAGGTTCTGTTTCATGAAAAATGTCAATGCATTCATAGTTATAAAATAAAAAAAAAACAAGAAAATATTGAAATAAAATGTTTACATTCATCTCAAACATGAGATATACATTGCAGTGTTACTATTTATTTATATTTAGAGCATCAGTGATTTCAATTTACTCATCCATTAGAAGTTAATTTAAATTATACATATAATCATATTATTAATTCTGTTGAATTATTGAGTTTTTAAAGAATAAAAGAAGAAATTCATAAGAAACTAATAAATTTTGAATTAATGTTTAAATGTTTAGAGATGATTATTAAAAATTATAATAGTTTGAGTTGTGGAAAAGTTAAACTAAAAAAGTATGATGCATATGTTGAAACATTTTTCATTCTTTGTATTGTGACAGGTCTTATGTATCATATACATAAAAAGGTTTTGTAAGTAAATAAGTTATGTTATATAAATACATCAGCATCTTTTAACCCTCTCAATATTTCAATAATGCTTTTATATAGTAGTTGTGCAGCTGGTGTATTTTCTTTTGAATCATTTCTTATATTAGTTGAATTTGAGATTATATTAAAAAAGACAATATGTAGTTACAATAAGTTTTTTTTTCTTTTTTTTTTTACTATTATACTTTGTATTATTTAGTTAAATCTACTGAAGACAATTTTTCTATCAAATGGTTTTTATGGACATGGGTTGCAGGTTGGACCAATAGTTTTTCTAATCAACAATTCAAGTGCAGAACATAATACTTTAAAGCTTTGTTGACCAAAAAGTAAATTATTAATATATATATATCTATATAATATAATATAAAAATTATTAATTTAAATTAATTTTATGTAAGAATTTATTTATTATATACATTCTATTTTTTACAAACATTTTGAAGATAGTTTCATAACTTGAAACATAAAATTAATAAAGAAGACCAGATACCCATTATGGAAAAAATTAAAAAGATCCTACATGTATTATCAGATTCGAAAATACATACAAATTATAATAGACTCAAGTAAGAATTTTATAACTATTTAAAGTTAAAATGTCATTTTGAACTTTTGTAAGAACAATAACAGTCTTGGGCTTTATTTTTCCATCAAGGCTTACTCATATAAAGTAATAATACAAATAATTATATTAAACAAAGTTTTGGTATAATAAAAGATATTGTTTTTGCTAGAATGTAAGCTTATAATTTTACACAGGTGTTTCAGTTTATAATCACAAGTATGAAAAGGTTTTATTAATAAAAATTACTTAGAATTACATATAAGCATTCAATAATTTTGTATATCACAAGACAATTTTTGTGTTCTGGCTAAAAAATAATAAATGTAGATGATATTCAACAAAGTAATATAAAAAATAAATTTTTTGTATTCAGTACCAAAATAAATAGTCTTTTTTATGTCATTAACAGTAAGATTGATTCTTGTTCCTGTTCTGTTAGAATATTTGATACTTCTTGCAAATACCAAGAAGCAGTTATGACAAAATTTCATATTTCAATAACTAATTTTGTTCTGTTTTTAACTTTAGATAATCATATTACTTATGCTTATATAGTATTCAGTAAATATTTATTTACTTAAATCAAGCTTGCTGAATTGAAATTATTATATAATGTTAATTTGTTTTTAGGTTATATTACTGAGAACAGATTATTTTATACATCATTACACCTATAACAAAATCAAGAATTTTGCATATAAATATGAAAATTACAAGTAATACTTTAATTACTGGGTAGAAAAAAAATAAATTTTTTTTTAATTTATAATAATTTTATTTTTTAATTTATATATTTTTTTTTTATCATTATTTCTTTTTTTCGAATAAAGAATCTGTAAATTCAGTTGAAAAGGATTAAGAAAATAAGTAATTTAATACTTCTGAGTTTATTTCATTTTAGAAGTCATAAATCAAATTATCAAAATAGTGGTTAAACATTACAAATCATATTAGATAAATTTAAAGATTGCTATATTGCAGCAAGATTAAAATCCATTTTTTGACTTTTCTTTTTTCTTTATAACCTTAACTGTGATTTAGATCTAATAATTAATATTAAAAGTGGTTCATATATATGGGTTCAAGTAGAGTCTATTAAGTGACACAAACTGAAAAAAAATAGTTCTAAATAAAAAGCACTTGTTTCTAAAAATAAGACAAAAGAGAATTTAGATTCTCATGTAATTTCTGCCTAAAAAAAGAAGAAAACTTAAAAAAAACATAATTTGAGTAAAAATATAATAACCAATTAACTTAATTGAGGGATAAATATTTTTTTTATAGTAATTATAAGAGGACATTTAGTTTTTTATTTCTATTATACTTAAGCATTATGTGTAAATTAGTATTAATAATTTGTTAAAGTAATTTAATCCAAAAAGATAACCTTTTAATTATATATTTAATTAATAATATTTAATTAAATTTTGTGTATTATCTTTATTATCAATTGTTTCATAAAAATCATAAATTTTTTAATATTCTGTGCTCAACTCTAGAGGTATGGTTGGACATATAGTTGACATCAGTAACTTAACCTGTCACAGATTTCAGACATGCATTAGAATGTATAATTAGAAATCAGAGTTTGGAGAATAAAATTAAAAAAATTAGATAATTAAAAATAATATTTACTATTTATAAATTATATATATATAATTATATAATTTATAAACCATATATTGGTCATCTTATTAAGCATGATATACCAACTTGATATATTTAAATTAAAATATAATTACACAAATTCTTACATATTAACTTGCAATTAAAT